CTGAAAAATCATGGGAAAATTTCTGAGCTTTTGTGTTGGCCCTATTTTATTCATTAGTAGAGTAAATCCCCTCTCTCTGGGTCAAAGCTGAATCTTGGAGGTGGACTGCATTGCTGTCTTCAGCTTTTCCACTGGTTGGATACCCAAGGGAAATTTTGCAAAAGATAGGGTCCTGTTCTCAGGAAAGATTTTGGGCTCCAAATAGCCAGCATTCACAGACCTGAGATATTTTTCTGTGCTGTGGGAAAAACCAAAATTTTATTCTCACCTCCATGCTTAGTATTTATTGCTGTTTTGGGGACTAGAGACACAGTTCTAGGTAGGATTCTGTATATGTGGAGAGAGAAGGAAAAAGGAAAAGCAGAAGGAATTTTGTGCCATGGGATACTGCAGAAATCTTATCAGGTTGCTATTGATTATTTTGGTGCAAGACTCTAGTTGCCTGACCAAGAATGAAATTCCATATTCAGAAAATGACATTGGAGTGGGATGGGGGGCAGGGGTGGAGAGGGGGAGGTAAGGCATGAAAGGGCTTGCTCTTTTTTATGAATATTCCTTCCTTATTCTGCTACTGGTTTTGCTAAAATAAAACACCTTTATAACTGGTAGAGCACTTGGGAGTCCTTGGATAAAGGCACTACAAGTGCAAGATATTCTGAGCAGATGACTTTGAGCATCTCCTTCATTATTCTGTGAATCCATACCTCACTTGGGATGGGAGCTGCTTTTTGTATGATTGGTGAGATGATTGATTTTCACCTGTGTTTGAAAATTTCATACATTTTTGGAAAGTGAAGAATAAAATACTTTCATGATGGTCTGCTGTAAAACATTGCAGCTATTTGCCATGATGTTGACTTTCAATAACTGAAAATTAAAGGCCTACTGAAGTAATTTTGCTCCCCAGTGATTTAGAGATAGCCAGTCTCACCATAATTTAGAGTCAACTTTTCGTCCCTGCACAGTTCCATGATTTGTAAGCTGTTTCTGGCAGCCATTGTTGTCAAATCAATGATATTACTTCTTCTCTTCCTAACTTTCTGGCCCTTTTCCCCCATAATTAACTTCTTCATCAGATTTACATTATTTGGGTCTATCTTTCTAAGGGATACAAACTCCTGAATGAAAATACTGTGCTGTGAGTACGTTTATAACTCATTTCATCGTCTGACGCGATTGTATTTTTTGTAGACAAAACTCAAATGGAAAACACCAGTCCTCACATATGTTCCATTTTATTTCATATTCTTAGAATACGAAAAGTAAAGCTAAACCTTCATATCCTCAAATTTCAGAGTAAATTGCATGTTAATAAGACTTAATAATGCAATTAACTTTGTTCATGTACATAATTAAGTAGCAAAATGCTCTTAGTTTTTAGGAAAAAGGAGGAAAACAGTAAGTAATGCTGCAGCTTGAATCAAGCTGTTTGGGAAACTGCAGTTAACTTTAATCTTGTTGAATCTCTTTGTAACAAGGAAATAGGCCGATGCACTTGTTGGAAATAACTGGTATACTCTAGTTACTGCTTTTTTTCCTGTCTCTCATGTAATACCTAAGGCTACTCACATCTTCATGAGATTTTGTGTTTCAAAATGGTAAAAAGAAAGAAAAGGTCAAAACTTTAAATTTCATTTTGATCTGCAAATGCTCATATCCATTGAGAGAATGTGATCTAATCCACTGTAAAATAAATTTGATGATTCCACTTTATGTGGTTCTCTAGAACAAAACTTATCTCAGAGAAATCTTACTTCTGTAGCATGTGTTTTGCCACCAAACTGTTGCTCAACAGTTTTTATCAGAGACGTAGCACACTGTGTTACTTAATAACTCTGCAGAGATGCAGGCCTTTGAGACCATTCCTCAGTGACTGATACACTTGTTCATCTCAATCAGCACCATTTACAACTTCCAGAAACAGTCCTACAAATTTAACAAGTAGGGTGGTTTACCAAGATACAAAGCTGGACTGAGAGCCAGAAGCTTTAGTCTGTTTTCCATGCCTGGAGATACTAGCATGTGTGTTCTGTAACCTGAAAATAGGATCCTTATAATCTTATAGGCAATGTATGAAATAGAACTTAAACTTGTTCTCAGAGATGTGAAAAATTTGTGTTCTCTCCCCATTATTTGAATTGCTATAAACCACTGCTGTGAACCATGTCCCAGTTGTCCCAGGTACTGGTAAAAATCAAAACAAAAAGTTGGTGATGGACATACCAAGTTTTGAATTTCAAACTGTAAAACCACAGCAGATTGATATAGACAGATGTGATATAGACAGGGAGTCAGTGTGATGAGAAGTGTTGCCAGCACTACCAGCCTAACCACTGCCAGGCCTTTCAGAGGTCTTGCAGAAAATGGGTTTGAAGGTTTGTGGAGAGCCCCCAAGCATGAAGGGTAGCATGCAAGAAAGTGTTTGAGGATGCAAGAAATGAGTCATGGGCATGGGCACAGTTTGCTGGATGCTGTTGGGAGTTGACACTCTGAAATACAGAGGGAAAAAATAGTGTGGGGGCTAGACCATGAAGGGCCTGGGTGATAAACAATGTGGTCAGAAGAAAGATTTCAAAAAAAGACTATATGGTCTAAACAACTGTCTAGGAAAATGGAAGGCTTGCCTTTCTTGTGAAATGCTGCCATAATCAAAGACTGAGAGGATGAAACACTGGGCAAAAAAATCTAATTGTTTGAATATGCAAAAAAGTTTGTGTCTTTAAGAAGAGACACATAGAAAATCTACAAAATTTAATTATATCTTCCACCAGAGTGATAAGCATGATATTTGGCATATATACTGAAATAATGTCCAGAGAAGCTGAAAAGGAATAGCAAAGACAGAACAAGAATTTTTTAGCTCTGCTAACTAGAAACTAAGAAAATGGTGTTGAAAAGAAGAAAATCAGCTTTACTGGCCAGACTTACTTGCCAGATGCAATGGCTAGGACTTAACTCATCACCAAATTTGCATTTGTTTGTGAGATTTTCTTAAAGTTAGGGTAGCAGGGGCCCATATGCCTTCATAACTGTTCTCCACTCCCAAAGTCAGAATTAGTCAGGATGAATTAGACTCTAAAAAAGAAATTTAAGAAACTCAAAAATCAAAGAAAAAACATCCTACAACTCCCCCCAAACAAACAACGAATACCAACCAACCAAACAAATAAACAAACAGAAAGACAACTGAAGTAGTAAGAGGACTGGGACAGCAAACTGGATGATCAAGGGAAGACTTGATTTGAAGATATTTGAGGAGTAAACAAAGATTGAATTAACTTTGCCAGTGGGGAAACTGAGGCAACAGGGAAAGGAATTTCAGCAGAGGGCAATTTTAGAGATCTAACATGGATTTGAAAGAAAATTCTCAATACTGACTGTAAGCACACAGTTTGGTGAGGTTAGAGATGAAGGGGAAGAGCGACACCAAGCAGGGATGAGTGGGAGGCAGAGGGCGTGAGAAGTTTCAGCAGTGGTGACTACAGAAGTTCAATGGAAGCCTTAGATGTTGTCATCTTTGGGTAGCAACACACAGTAATTCTTGTCACAGCAGTCTGCAACTGGCTTTGCTTTGTTCAGACCCTGATCCCACAGCAAACCCAAGTGAAATTCATTTGTCTGAGGTGTATATGATGTTAGGTAAAATGGGTTTTCTAAACTAAATGCTGAAATACTGGAGTGTGCCAGCAATTCAGTAACAGTACATTATCCTTTCTCTTTATAGTTTCACTATAATTTTTTTTTTTCATAGCTTTATTGAGAAAAAGTAGGCTTAGTGGGATCATCTGTTCTAGTCTTATTTATATTTCACTATAGATGCACTCAAAATTCCTACTTCCCGTACAACAACTTAAAAATAAAATTTGAAAACTGTTATAAACTGAGAAGCACTTTTTCTTTTACATTAAAAAACAAAAAAAACCCCCAACTTTAAAAAAAAACCACTATACGGAAATTACACAAATAGAAGCTTTCATTTTGACATATTTCATTCTTGGAGATGTTTCCTTTAATTTTTTTTTTAAAGACATTTTATATAACAAGTTAAAAATAAACTTTCATGGTGCTTTAGTAGCATGAACTGAGATTAAAACTTCAAAGACAATTGCAAATGTGCTGCAGTTACTGAGCATGTGACTCTTTGAAAACATTGGTCTGTAATATCAGAGTTAAATGTCAGAGCTCTGTATTTACCCATGAATGGTATAGTTGGGCCCTGTTCAATGACACTAGGGGAACAATGCTTCATTGTATCATTTTAAATATATTTTTCTTGTGTTTTTTTCCCCTCTGTTAAACAGACCTATTACAGTGTTGTCAACATGAAATGTACCACAAACTGAAACTCCCATCTTCTTGCTGGGAACAAAATAATGAGGTAAGAAGTTGAGGCTGTGCTCAAGATAAGGGATTTGCTTGTTGAGCAACTGGCTTGATAAACTTTTGCCAAATATGCACTGCCAAATAAAACCTAACAGTGCTAAATATAAATTAAAAGAAAAGCTATATATTTATATATATTTCCAACGTGCATTTAAGTATTCAAGAATAAAATATGTGAGCACGTACTTTATTATCTAAGGGCCTTTGTTTTCCTGCCCCCCTTCATCTCCCCCCTTTATTATGGTTCTGGATTGCTCCTTTTTATCTGGGAACACTGAGTGCAGTTTCTAACAGTGAACATAGATGAGAAATAGATGTGGCAATATTTTCTTAAAGTCAGCTCTTGGGAGATCAAATTTATGTAAATTACTGCTTGTCATGCTAAGGATTTCTGTCTCCTTTGTAACATCCAAGTTTGATGTGCAAATCTTGGGAGTTGTAGAGTAAGGGTAAAAGCTGAGGAGCTTCTTTTCCTTCCTCCTTTTGAAAGAATTCCCTGATCCTCTCTTGGCACCCAAATATTGTTTATTTTCTTTCATCTGCCATTCCACCCTACAAATTCCTTCACAGATTTACGTTTTAGAAGAGGTGATTTAAGATTTGACACTTCTGCTTTTTTAGAAGAGGTGATTTAAGATTTGACACTTCTGCTTTATTCAGCCAAAGGAACCCAAGCGCAGGTGTTCTCAGGTAGGCCACTTCCCTGCTTTAAAATTGCTGCTCAGCCTTCTTCTGCATCACCAGAAGGATCTGGGCTCCAGGGCTGGGCAGAGCCACAGGCTGTGCCGCTTGACCATTCCATTTAACACAGATAGCCATGGTACCTGTACTCATGACATATGCGTCCCGTTTTCTCAGACCTCTTTCCTCAGCATCTGTGACATTTTTGACAGCTCACTTTTTATTGTAACTTCTTTGCATTGTATATTTTTTTTGTATTGTATATTCTTAGAATATAAGATCTCTTGTTTAAATATCATTCTTCTCTTTTATAAGTCTCTTAAAACGTGGCTCTACATTGATAAAAATAATGGCAATGGGACGTAAGACTTGCTGTTAAATGTCTAATTTCCACCCACTCCAACTGACTCTCACTTCCTTTCTCATTACTGACCTAAATACTTATCATACTAACCAACACAGGAGAGGAAGGGCTGATGTTGGCTCCTTGCCTTCCTTTGTAAACAAGCATCAAGGGTCAGGTGATCATCTCTAATCTGTTATTTTTTTATAGAATATTATTACAATAATTTATATTATTTTCTACTTAAGCTGATGTTTGTGCACTGAGCATTAAAGAGTTTGATTGCTGGAGATACAAAGGCTGTTTCTCTTATAGTTGCAGTTTTTTATCACAAGTGGAAGTTCTGGAACTATAATTCTCTTAAGAGCTAATAACTGCATTGGCTGCAGTCAGTAAAGCATTTTGTCCTGCTGGTGCAGCCTGTGTTTTTGGTCAGTGTCTGTTTCATTTCCCAAAACTATGACTACATGGCTCCATTGCCATCTCTGCACAAGCTGGCTTCTCTGTAAGATTTCTGACCTCACATTTGGCTGAAGAATGTGAAATTCTGCTCATTCTTTTTTCTGTGGATGCAGTTTTATGATTCTGGAACTGCTCAAAATCTTCTGAAGTTCTACTTATGTTTAAGGAAGTTTCAAAGTTCAGTTTTGCTGAAGAAGAAAACTACCATCATCCCTTTGCTTTACTTGGTATTTTAATGTACCTAAATCTGAACAATAAAGTAGGGAACAGCAGAAAAATAAAACATGTTTGTAGTTATCTGTGTAATATAAGTAATATTTAACATGTGGTTACACACCTTTTGGACTTAGGTTTTTGAAGTCTTTAAGCACAATTATCACGTTGCTTTAAAGCAACACAATGACAGAATGTGAGCAGTGTGAATGAATGAGGCCAAGCTACAGTATTCTAGGATAAAATGGAGCCATTGTGCCAGCTGGAGAGGGAAGGAAGTGCTTTCCATGAGCATTGCCAGCTCTAAGGAAGCTTTCCTCAGGCTGCACTAGGAGCCATCAATGTATTTGTTAAAATATAAGGTTTTTAGTATCATCCATCAATATTTTTCAATAATCATCTACACTGCAAACAATGGGCATTTAAAAAATCATGAATCATACCCCAAAACAACTTGGAATGGACTTAAAAATTATAATACATGCAGGGAAAATGGGGCTTATGGATCTTACTGAGCTTCTACCTTGTTTCATGATTCCCTTTCCATTAGCTTTTTTTAAGGGTGTTGGATTTCATCAAAAGAAAATGAAGTATTTGATTATTTTATGATAATATGGGATTATGAGGAAACCCCAGAGTTCTGGAGGCCATAGTGAAAAATGTGGGGTTCACTGGTACGACAAAGGGACCTGCACATGTGTGACTTCTCTGCGGTCAAATTAGCTAGTCCTTGGGTGGACAGCCCAGGGAAAGAGAAGGAATAAAATTGTAAAAGTAACAGGTAGGGAATGGCTGTTCATTGGGAGGACATAAAATTTCCTATGGCTCTTCATTCACAAATTTTATAACTAGGTGAACAAGGGTTGAAGAGCTGGATGATCACGCCGCAGCGTCTCCAATGCATTCAGACTTGTGCTGCGTAGTTTGAAGCAATCTAGCAGACAGTGAGTTATGTGAAAACTTATTGTCATGACAAAGACCATAAAAAATGGAAAATGAGACAATTAAAGAACCCGTGACAAATTTTATAACAAGTATAGAAAATAACACAAAGGTAATCCATTGTATTATCTTTTCAAGGTTCTTCTCACATGTTGTAAATAGGGTTTATAGTACTAGCTATTTTTTTGCTACTTTGCCATCAATCACCCTGAGGCATTACTAAACTATTACTTATCTGCTGACAGGTAAAACAAAACTTTAGTGCTGATATTACTGAAGTTTTATTAGTAAGCATCAAGAGCTCAATAGTAACCAAAAGACAAAAAAGTCAACTTTGTTAAAATATTATGCTGAAATTTTTAGGTTGCTCACTTTTCTTTTGCTCTCATGGCAGTTTTTCTGCTTGAATCATTTGAACCAACTGGAAAGGAACAATGGACTTATGGCTGACTTTTTTTTGTTGTTGTGGCTCAGCTTTTGTGTAAGAATTTTGTTGTACTGATACCTGATATCTAGAGAAACTTCAGGTTTTGGACAACCACCCTTTTGGGTGTCTTATAATTGTACTAAACATATTGCACTAAATATTTGAAATGGCTAAAATGTTAATTATAACCACCTAGGTTATCTGTTGGTAAAGGTCTTCTCAAAATGCATCTTGTCCAATCTTCTCATCTTGTTCAGCACAAAATGAAGTTGGAAGAATTTCACCAGAGTCTGTCTCTGCAAGCATAAATTTTAAATATATTGAAGTTTTATTTTTGCTTCATATTTTTCTTTGAATAGAGAAGACCAAAAATCAATCATATATTTGGGATTTAGCTGCTTCAAATAGAGGTCAACTGAAGAAGAGCTGGCTTGGTATTAAAGATAATCTACAATGTCAAGGTAAATGTTTAAAGCAAGCACTTTTTAAAATACTGATTTTAATAAGATGCATGACCCTGATGCCTGTTATTTAGTCTTGCACATCTTGCTAACATTAGCTTTTCTAGACTTGGCCTGCAGAGAAACCACCGTCATTTGCTTCAGCAGCAGATATATTAAACTTCTTCATGCAGCAATTTCTCAATTTACCAAGTTCTATTCACCTGCTTGTTCCAGTGACAGGCTCAGCCTGCTATCACATCTAACTGAAAATTTAAATTATTTTTCTCTGGACTAGAATGGGATTCATTCTAGAAGTCTAGTTTTTAATGAGATTAGTTCTTCCTTTGTAATTTACTACTGATATTATAGATTAGAACATTATATTATTACAACAATGTATTTTTTACCTTTGACTTCTAGTGTTTCTAAAGGCATGGAAACACAGAGATTTCACAGATAATACTGAATTGAGATGACATGTGAAAATCAGAATGATACAAATGGTAAAGAATATTATAGTGATTCAAGTATCAGGAGGAAATAAAATTAAATTAATCTTGAAAAAAATATTTTGAAATATATAAAGAAATAATCTAGAATGCATGGATAAAAAGACAGTTTGGATAGAATTCAAAGAATGCTGAATTCTGTGGGAGCTTTGCCATTTAATCCACTCGGCCAATACTTAGCCCATGGCAAATAAGATGCAAGGAAATCAAGGGATAGTAGATGGCAGTGAATTCATTATGAAATTGTTTGAAATATCTGCTTTTATACACAAGTTGATATGTTGGATGTGTAAACATCCGTGCTAAAGAATCCCATCCAAAAAACCATATTCTGGAGTCGGTATCTCATTGCTTTATCTTCTGTTCAGCCACGTCATCCATTCTGAACATGCATTTATTTCTGATTCACAGAGTCAAGAGTGACACTGGAATTAGTCTGGAGATGCTGAGCACAGCAGTGTGAGGAGGACTGCACACACCTTGTGATCAGTGCTTCCTGTCAAACACTTGCAGCACATTTTGGAGTTGATAGCAGTGGTTTGCCTTGTGTGCTTTTCTTGATGGAGGACTGTGGTTTCTATCCACAGAAGATCAGCACTCCCACCCAACCTGCTGCTGCCTGCAAACTGACTGAGGGTGCACTGCATCCCCTCATCCAGGTAGTGGACAAAGTTATTAAACAGGATTGGCCCCTGAACTGAGCCTTGGGGAACATCACTAGTGGCCAGTTGGCAGCTGGATGTGACTGCATTTACAGCACCCTGGGCCTGGCCATCCAGGCAGTTTTTACCATCCATAGTGCCATGAAAGAAGCACAACATCAAAGGTATACTTATTAGTAGGATTCTCAAAGCAGAAACCGCATCCATGAATATAGAGTACTGGAAATTTTTCTAAACTTTTGTTTTTGCTTTCTCTAGAAACTTAAGAGGGGTGAAGGCCTGCTATAATTGTAAGACAGGAAATGTGTTTTCATCTTGTTTTGCTGGGCAGAGATAAAGCTAAAAAGGTGAAATGGGGAGGTCTAAATAACCTTTATTTTCACCTATATCTTAAATGATTTTGGGATGTATTCTATTAAAAATAATTAGACTATAAACACAGAAACACAGTGAGATTTAGTCATGTTGGAGACAGAGGTGGTCTAGCAGCCTGCTGGAGATGTGGTCTAGAAGAGTTGTGTTGACCTCAGCAAGCAGGAATACCTAGTGGTGATCACATGCAGTGGAAATACTATTTAAAATGGCATAGATATTTAACAAAATTACTGAATTCACTGAAATCTATTCTCTGACTCCTTGTTTTTGTAAAAGGGCTTGACCCAGTGCCATTTTTTTTTAAAGTGTCTACTCTGACCCTGAAACTGGAACTGCAGAACTGACTGCAGAAAACTTTTGTGAAAAAGACTCCCAGCTATGATGACAGTGGGCAGAATAGGTAGGATGTTCCTCTGTCAAAGAAGGTCAGTGGGTTAAGGTGCAGATTAGAATATCAATTCCTTGAAAAATTACTTATCCACCAAGCTGTTGGGTTGTTTTCTGTGATTAGTAATTTTCTTGGAAAAAAAGGAGAGATCTGAAAACGGTGAATATATTGAATTTTTATCAGATAAAAAGGCCATTTTATATCTTCTTTTATCTGAATGAAATAAGTATTAAATCCCTTAGATCTAAAAAAAAAATGTTTGGGCAATTTTTTGTCATAAATCATTTGATTCAGTGAAGTAGACAAGAAATGCCTTTGTGCAATAGTTCAAATAATCTGCTTCATATTGAAGGTCTAAATAAGGAATTAAATACCAAAGTCTATGAAGAGAAAATAAGTTTTGAAAGTGAAAATGTAATGTGTTGCTTGGGACATAACATCCTGAAATCACAAGCAGCTCAAACTTTATGTCTCATGCTAGGACCATGAAGAGATTTAAGTGCGTCTTGTGTGTTTTCTTGACAAGTCAGAAGTATATCAACTGTGTGCCACAGCAGGACCATATTAGAGATACCTGAAGCCTAACCCATGGAATGATTTGAGGTCCCCACCTGTAGAAATGAAAATGCATAAATGTCATAACTCTTCCTGTGCTCTGCAGCGTAGGCAGCTCCACTGCAGTACCTCACTCTGCCATTTGCTGTCTGATATATCTAATCTTCCCCAACTGTCCAGTTTCTAGCTATGATTCATTTCCTCAATATGTGTTTGTCCTCACACACAACGTTGCTACTTTACATGTAGAAGCAGCTCTTTCCCCTACTGAGATACAAATATTGGAAAGTCTGAAGTGCAAAAGTTATATTCTGAAGTGCTGAAATGAATCAGTATATTCTGTACTTATGAGAACAGTTAGGATTTTACATGTCATAAATGCATAGAGGGCTTCTTTTTATTTCATCCTGTTTGGATATCTATGATTTTTGTTTTTCCTTCCAGTTTTATACAACATCTCAACATTGGCTTCAATCATGGATTGAGTTTTCTTTGCCTTAAGATTCTACTTGCATATGCTTGTTTTCCTTCTGTTTCCCTCATTATCCACTTTTGCTGTTCCAAATATTGCTTCCTTTATAGGTCTGAAAAACGTTTATTTTCTTTTTTATCACAACTTTTGTGGTAATCAAGACTTCTTAACCATCAGGTTCCTATATTCAAGGTCTTATGAGAAAAACTGCATTTTCATTCCTGTTCTTAACAAGAAAAATGAATAAAGTAAAAGAGCAAGATTTCAGAACCTATGAATCTGGATTAAAACTGAGATTTTCAACTTAAAGAAGATATATTCCTGAAGTTTGTAAAAAAAAAGTTGAGATATATTCAGACTAAGGTGTCCTTGTTCCTGATCATCTAGAATGGAATCATGTACTCAGACCATATTGCAATGCCTTCCAAAAAAGCCGCGTAGGACTTTGTCCAGCAGAAACCTAAGTCCACTGGAAAGGAAAGGAGAAAACATATACACTCATGTCTTGCCTTCATATCAGTCTGGAATATGGCTAGGAAATATATTTCTTACAGATTCCACTTTATACTTAGCCAAATACGAACACCTACACTCTCTAATAGAATTCTTGCTGTCATCCTCACCGCCACCATCACTGTGTCACCCATGCTTCCCAACCTTCCAATTACCCCCACATCTAGCACTTGTCCTAAACATCTTTATCCACATCTCCTGACATTGAAATCTCCTTTACTTCAAATGAGTTTAAAATTCAAATGGCTTCTTAATAGATGCTAGTGAAATGCAATATTGCTACCATTTGTCTTTGATAAAACACCATTTGTCATGATTGCAAAAGCCTCTGTTCCTCCTCCCCAAAGTCTGCTGACAGGAAGGAGGTGTTACTGCTGCCTTTGATTCTGTCACATGTGTTTTGTTTTGCTTTATTTTTATTTTTTTAGTTTTCTTATCTTCAGGGCTTGCTTAGATGATATTTGAGGGTGTTGCTCCTTCTTCAGGAGTGGAAGTTCTGCCCTTCTACTTCATCCACCCCCAAAAGTGTTGAGAGACAGAAAAGTAGAACCCATCCCTTCTTTGCTAATGCTTTGCCCTTCACAAAACACAGAGCAGGAGAAGCACAATACATTTAATATTCTTCAGCATTTTAATGCTGCCCTTAGATGTGAGAAATTCAGTTCCTCTATTACCTTTTCTCCCAAGGACTGATCACTACAAAATTTATACACTGCAAGAAGAAAGGAGTTCACTGACTTGCCATGTCTCCCCAGATACCAGAGCTGTTTGTGTTTTTTGTTAGTCTGCTTTTACAGAGGAAACCATATGATCACTAACAAATACAACCTAAACTAGACCCCTTAGGCTCCCACTTAATTTAAGAGTCTTCTAAACTTGGCATTAGCAAATGGGTTTTCTAAGGCAGTTGCTACTGTAGTATCTTTTCTTCTCCTCAAGGGAAGTAGCCCATAGAACCATTTAGTGAGTTTATCTTGAGATTCTTGGCTGAAGGAATTTTAGCGAAGATTTAGTGTTTTATAGACAAAGGTTTCAGACTGACGTACTTTGAGTAGAAAAATGAAGCATTCTTGAACAGGTATAAAGAAAACATAGGAGACTGGGAGTTTAAAAGAGCAATTTTTCATTTTTCTCAGATACTGTTTTCAGCAGAAAATCACTTTTGAAGGGTGAGAATCCAGGCAGTTTTTAGGAGAGATCAGAAAAGCCAGATCAGGACCCATGTAGGTATTCTGTATTTACTACCAGCACATGTCTGGAGAGTTTGGAATTTGGTCCTTTATTCAAGTTTGTCTGTTACAGTGATCTGCCAACTGGCATTAACAAAATACTCCCACCAGTTTCACTGTGTGATGGATTGAGCCCTGAGGGCTCTGCGTGGTTGTGCAGGCCGGCACTGACTAGTTGTGTGTCTGTTAATTTTTTTTTTTACCCATCCAACCTTGCCACACAAAGAGTGCTGGTAAGCCACATAATGGAAAGCATGTAAAACTAGTTTTTAGGTAGAATATAGCCCTTGTGGGTAAATAATCGTACTTTCCTTCCTCAAGTACTGCATTAGAAACAATATTCAGTATAAAGTGATTGTATAGATAGCCTGATTGTAAAGCAAGATTAATACGAAAGGCAAGAAGTCTGCAATAAAACCTCCTAACTTAAATCATCTGCATTTGTGTACAAGCATTCATATTTAGCAACAGTCCCAAGGCTGAGATTAAAGCTGTTTGGTAGGTTACTTCAAGGCCTTTTTATTGCTAAATCTTATTATGTCTCTAAAATGTAGAAATTAATCACCTGTCATCAAAGCTACAGTGGATTATTGACTTCTAAATGTCTCTACGAAGTGATTCATGACAGAATGAAACAGGAGACTGAACTAGCACTGAAATTCTTTTGCATGTGATAAAAAGGGTCTATTAAAAGTGTTTGAACAAATGCTGGCTATTAGGTAATCATCACAAAGGATTTTGCTATCAAAACGTGGTGCTCCTTATTCAGTTACATAGATTTTCAACACCAATCCCCTAATAGGGAAGATATCTGGAGAATTTAGATTCTTCATCTGAGAAGGCTGACACTAGCTAATTTGCAGCAGGATATTCTGATCTACCTGCAAGACAATGATGGTGGAGTATTGTTTGCACATACTCCAAGGTATTTTAACCCAAAATCATGTGGTTATTCCAATTAAGAATCACTGGGTTGTGACAGGAAAATTTCTTATGATTTGGATATTTTGCTGTATATTCAATGTCAGTTTTTCTTTGAAACATGTCAAAAAATGCCATGAGGATGTACTGCTGAGGGGAAGAGAAATCTGGCTTTTGATTCAAGTCAAAGTGAGTTTCTTAAGGATTTATAATGGCCCCAATTCAGTTATAGTTATCATGCAGATGGAAAGTGACTGTGTGATGTGGTCCAGGGATGCAATCTGCATTGGATATTTTCTAAGAAAATCAAGATGGAGAACTAAAGACTCTGAAAAGATACCCTAGATGTTTTCCTTGTGTTAGAAGGCCAAGTTTACAACAAATGTCTTTGGAAAGGTAATTTCTTAATGTATTTTCAGAGTTTCCATAAGTCACACTATGAGTCTGCAGAGAGTGCCTCAGTTTTTTTCGTTTAACAGGCTGGGGTACAGGCTGAAGGATACTTCCTCCCTAGAATTTGTGAGTATGTGCTCTCACAGCAGCTCTGCACACTGGTACCAAGTGTTTATCTGTTGCTTTCATGCATTATAAGACAGGTGCTCACTGAATTTTCACTTAGAGTTCCTTTTTTGTTTAATGCAAGTTAGGGGGATATGAAGGAAAGATGTTCAGAATATTGACCATTGTGCTTTTAGGTATAAGTATGAGGGAAAGAGAGATTATAATTGCAAAAAAATTAAACACCAGTTTTCCTAGTCCATGTGCAAACCCAGAATTTCTCTCTAGCTGCTTATTGCCCCTCATCAGAACTTGCTGGACATGCCTTAGATGCTTAAGTCTTGAGTTCCTACAGTTATCCTGCCATGTGATGGCTTCCACTGGGCTCAAAAACTGCATCTTCCTCTAGCCCTGCTTCTATTTTCCACATTGATTTTTACAGAAAAATGGTGACATTGATTTGGATAAAAAT